AGCACGAACATCGTTGACGCGAAGAAAATCAGGCAAAAGATCCCTTCTTTTGGATTGTCTTTTTGGTTGCAATCTGTTGCGAAGCATGGTAAGCAAACGGTAGAAATCCATGGCATTGTTCCCTAAASTTGCAAAGGACAACGGCAGCAACAACAACTTTAGTGAGCACATTGAGAAGAAGCCACACGAACAAGAACACRGCTCGACCAACACCGGCCCGAGAATGAACTYAGAACGAAACGCGGGMGACYTCTGGTGGMGGGTCATCACGGTGCTGGTGGTCGCGTCGATCTCGATCGTCTCGTGGTCGAAATACAGCGAACGCGCGAGCACGATCCRCCCCTTGCGCTTGGTGGAAGCAGAAGGAAACTCTCAGTGGGMCCCGCTGTTGTTGGTCGAAGAAMACGAGGGAGACACAGAGACTATTGGCACCCACGACTATCTCCTCGATAGCTACGCAAAACGACAGTCGCTGCACAGTCCGCCGACCCAATCGTTTCTCGCAACACACGAACAAGGCAGTTCTGCGGGCTTCGCTACCGCAASGACAAACGACCCTTCCGGCTCGGTTCGAAAATACGCAGCCTCCCATTCTTTTTTGCTGCCACAGCCCGGGGATGATCCGGAAGCACCAAAAGCAACGACTCCGAAACGCGTCCTGAACATCCACGTTGTTCCGCACACACACGACGACGTCGGCTGGCTCAAGACCGTCGAYCAGTTATACAACGGCTGGAACAACACCATACAGAAGGCAAGCGTCCGCGAAATCATCTCGTCGGTAGTCGAGGCCCTCACGGAGAATCCATCCCGTACCTTTTGCTACGTGGAAATCAAGTTTTTTTCCATGTGGTGGGCGGAACAGACCGAGCAGATGAGGGAGACAGTAATGCGGCTCGTGAAGGAAACAAAGCAGCTGACCTTTGTCAACGGRGGATGGTGCATGCACGACGAGGGATCGACCCATTACACAGGTACGTGAAATACTAGAGTGCAGCAGCGCCGCATCGGCATCGTCTGGATTTGTTTCGCAATTTATTGATAGAAGTGTTGTATTTAATCTTATGAATGCTTTCTTTTCCCCTCTCTTTTTTGCTGGCGGATGCGTCCAATCGAAAAGGCATGATCGATCAAACGACGCTCGGGCACGACTTTCTCAAAAGAACCTTCGGCTATGTTCCCACCGTTGGCTGGCAGCTCGATCCCTTTGGCCACTCCTCGACCCAGGCCTCGCTCATGACCTACAAGACGGGCTTTGATGCCATCTACTTTGGCCGCATCGACTACCAGGACCGGGAAAAGCGACACGCCACAAAAAATTGCGAGGGGTTGTGGAATACTTACACAAACAGAGATGGTGACGACGACGAGGGCGGAGTCTTTTGGGGACTAACAGGATCCTACACGGGCAATTACCAAGCACCAGGTGGCTATTGCTTGGATGTCAACTGCGGACCCGGCCAGAAATCGTTCATTGACAAGAACCGAAAGGAAATTATCGCTATGGTGGAGGACTTTTTGCTCGCTGTCCGGCAGCAGAGCGATCGGACCAAGGGAGATCATGTGATGCTGACAATGGGTAGCGACTTTCAGTACCAGAGGGCGGCCGTCAATTTTGCCAACCTCGATTTAATCATCGGGACGGTAACGAACCTCCAAAAGGATGGGACGATCGATATTCCGGAGATGTTCGGACCTGAGTACGATGCGATCCACATGTTTTATTCCTCGCCCGAGTATTATACAAAGTGCAAGCACGAAGAAGTCAAACAAGCACGAACAAACACACATGCTACCGATAACGAGGGATCCCCGCCATCCTCCATCGTCTCCCGAGACCACCGCGTCCTCCGAACACCAAAGAAAGATCCTGTTTCTTCTTCTGCGTCGGGTGTTGAATGGGCCACCAAACGGGACGACTTTTTCCCGTACAGCGACTGCCCGAACTGCTTTTGGACGGGGTATTTCACCTCTCGACCGTCTCTGAAGCGCTTCGAACGAGCTACTGCTGCGCTTCTTTTGGGAGCACGCCAGGTTATTTCCACTTCCGTGGCAAACAGCAGAACCATGAAATCACAACCTGAATCATCTTGCGGTTCTTGTGAAGACGAGCTGCTCCAGCTCGAAGATGCCGTTGGTGTCATGCAACACCACGACGCGGTTTCGGGAACCTCGAAGCAGCACGTGGCGTACGACTACGCTAAGATATTGCAGGGTGGGATCAATGCACTCCTTCCCTGCTTAATCCGGAAGCTGAAGCATCTCTTGCTCGGGGATGACTCTGAAATGTATCTGACCGACCTGACCTACTGCCAGCTCCTGAACGAAACTGTCTGCGAGCCATCCGTGACCGCAACCAGTGGCATCGCGGGCGATGGCAACGATGTTGGCAGCAACGGAGGAGATCTTTATGCGGTAGTATACAACAGCTTGGCATCGAATCGATCTGCGTTGATCGATCTGCCAGTCGGAACTCCCGGAAGGTACCTCGTGGAGGACGTGGCGGAAGGAAATGCCGAAACGATGGAAGCTCTGCCCAACTACTTTCGGCCCCCCGAACGGTTGGCGAAAAGCAGTGGTCCTTTTGTGCTATCATTTACGGCGGACTCGCTTCCAGCGGTTGGTGCCAAAGTATTCCGGATTCGAAAGCACTCGGATGCGATTATCGAGAAACTGAACCAGGAGGGGGCACTTGATGGTGGCAATAATGCCGAAAATACTGGTGATGTGGTATCAACTCCTTCTATGGCTGATCCCGAAAACACAGACAGCGATGGGTTGATGGAGATTTCGAATGGCCGATTTTCGGTGGCAGTCGATACGGATACTGGAGCCATTCGTCGTATAGGGACCCAGCATGTCGAGAATCTGAGCTCGTGGGGGTATTATATCTCCTTCGATAGGGAGAAAGATACCGTCCGGCCCGACGCGGACGAAAATTCCGGAGCCTACATCTTTCGACCGAGCACCCCGAATCAAAAGCTTCGCACAGTTTCACCGACCAATGCCACCATCGTTCACACCTTGATGGGAACAGAAATTCGCACCAGATACGAAGAGTCGTGGATTTCCACTAAAACGCGCATTCGCAAAGACCTTCCATACGTTGAAATCGAATACCAAGTTGGACCCATCCCAATTGGCGATGGCAGGGGGAAGGAAGTGGTGACGAGATACAACACTATGGTAAACAACGATGCCACATTTTATACGGATTCGAACGGTAGAGAATTCATCAAACGGCAACGCAACTACCGACCGACTTGGGACCTGACCGTTTTCGAACCCGTGGCGGGCAATTATTATCCCATCAACACAGCTATTTACATCGAGGAACAAGAAGTGTTGCATAATGAAAAAGATTCGGAGAAAACCGCAGGGCCTGCGTTTGCGGTTCTCACGGATCGGTCACAGGGGGGTGGATCAATAGTGGACGGCACCATCGAACTGATGGTTCACCGTAGAACCATCGGAGGAGACGACCACAAAGGTGTAGGTGAGCCCATCAACGAGACCGACGTCGGCATAACTCCCTGTGCTCCCTATGGGAACGCTACTCGAATTGGAGAGGGGCTGGTCATTCGAGGAAAGCACCGGATTCTTGTGGGGAACGATGGAGAACGACTGGCTCGGTCGGTCATGGACGACTCCTTCGCCGATCCTCTTGTATTTGTGGGTACAAATCCGACTGCAGAAGAATTCCCGTTTCATGCAAAGAGCTTTTCTGGCATCACGAAGCCATTGCCCGTGAATGTGATGCTAATCACCAAGCGACCGTTGTACAAGGCCGATTCAACAGAATATTTGGTTCGTCTGGGTCATCAGTATGGAGAGAGAACGGACGTCGACCTGTCGTTGCTTTTCCCACGCGAGCAAATCGATGGCTTTCGAGAAACAACGCTGAGTGGGAATCGTGACATCGAAGATTGGAAAAGGCAGCGGTTCGACTGGGCTATGCTTCGATCTAATGGAGAACGAGGCACAACAGAATCGCTTCGACAAGAACGAAGATATTCGACGAAATCAGACAGCACTATAATTTCACTTGAGGCGATGGACATTCGAACTTTCGTAGTAACGGTGAAATAGGATCTTTCCTTCCAAAGCTCCCGTCTGAGTCGATCACTCCCAACGAATGACCGGAAAGTTTGTTGCCATTCGCTTTGTTTCCATCTTGCTTCCGGCTTCCAACGGCGTCACTACTGTCACTCGAATGGAATTTGAAACAACGCCTACAGAGTATTGACAAAACGAATGGAGGAGATTGAATTATATTGCAATGCGCCGGGCCATTTTCTTAGTTTACATTGAGGTATTCAATACTACATCTACTCTACAGAATATGTTAGCCGATACGTATGTCGTTCCTTTTCTTGCGTAGCAATGCATCTGCGGTTCAGAAGACATCATCGAAAATATCGCGGGACGCCATCGAAATATAAAACTACATCAACAAAAAGTGCTCAAATGCGGTGATGTCCCTTCGTTTYACAAAGCTTTCATATCTATCGGTGACATTTTCTGGAGGAACAAGAAACCAAAATCTGTGGAGAAAACCCCATTCTTCTGGCTCGCTGATTTCGACAGTCGATTACAGGTGTTCAAGTGTAGCGGCCAGGGCTATTGTTTGTGGGCACAGATCTTCGTCCCGAGTGCTTGGAATTCAAAGACTATCGTATCGTCGTCTAGAAACGAGACGGGGAAGACCGCCACCGATTCGATAAAGGCGCGCTTACCGATCTCGTTGATGGCAGTTTTCAGAAACGAGTCGGGAACCTCGGAAAGGCTACCGTACGGTACGCTGTTCGAATCGTTTGAATCTTCAGATGCCAGGCGTTTGATCCACGCCTTGTCGAAGTCCACTCGTGAGTACGTGCCAGAATCGTCGCCCTCGACGCTACCGTAGGTTCCGCTTACTGATAGATATCCTTTTCCGAATACGGGAAAGTCGTAATACGCGTGGCTGACCATGGTCTGGTCTGGAAAGAGATCATAGGTCACGTCGAACCTCCCGCGAAAGATGTCCATGGCGGTCGTCATGTGGGGTGCATAGATCACCTTCCAGGTACCCTCGGCGACCTTAGCATTCGAACGCACAGAACCAGGCTTCATGAAGGTTTGGGTCGATCCGGGCCTTGCGTAGCTGACTGTCGGGATCGGTTCGGTTTCTGTCGCCGTGGACAACGCATCGTTTCCGCTCTCAACTGGCACTACTTTCTTCTCGTCGATCATTGTTGCCAGCAGGGCTGATCGCTGCTGGGTGGCTCCGTTGAGGATCTCCTTCGAATTGAGCGAAGCGAAAAAGTTACGCTTATTGGTTCCTACGACGACGGCTGACGACGGTGTCGGTTTCGATGCAGACGAGAGAGAATTTTGGCCCCCATCAGTCACTGGGGACGAGCCTTCATCAGCCATTGACAGAACTGTCGTCGAAACCGTTTCGAAGGAGCGGAAGGATCCCGAAACTGGTTGGTTATTTGCGACAGCCTTCAGTGCTTCCCGCTGGACTAAAAAGGCGCTATTCCTCCTGTTGTTGCTGCTGATGCCACTATTACCTCTAGTCCTATCCATCGCCGCCATCGGTGGTTCCACCAGATCTACACCATAATGTGCGGCCGGAAGCAAGAAACGAGCGCCGGTGCATTGCGTTGCCGCCGATTTCGGAGAGCGTTTAGGGGCAAAGCCATGAACCCGGAGATCAATGTTGTTTTCACAAATCGCGAGAACGACGACGGCAATGCATGCGATCTTAGCAGTGAAGTTCATGGCAATCAAGCAAAGGCAATATGTCTTCTGAGATTCTGCTGATCGGGGTTGAATCCGTGTCGTTGGTTCAGCACATTAACCGTGAGTTTGGAAGAACGAACTCTGATACGGAAGCAGGTTACGTAGTGATGATTCCCTGAAGACGATGAAGACAACAGCACATAATTTTTGTTTCATAAGGTACGAGAACGTTTACCGTTTTTCCCCGACAAGAGATAACTGTTTCCGATAGAGCTTTACGGTAYGAGTCAGGAAAAAATATTCATCGTCAATTGATTATTTGATCGATTGACCGATACGATCAATCGGTATGCAGGTTCATACCCAAATAGGTACGAGTATTACGTTCATACCTCGCCTCCACACCACACAATGTGTCCTCTGTACTCTCGCCCTTTTTGATCGATTGATCGATTTGTTCTAAATTCTAAAAGGATTTTCCGAAAGCAAATGACAATTGCCGTGTCAAATCAGACATCGTGTATGGGATTTCTTCAGCCCGTTGGCACAAGCCCTGGTTCGACCCGAACAATGATGGTTTTCTGGTAGCTTTTGCAGACTGGCTTCTTGCGTTGCTCTTCAATCCAAAACATGGCAATGTTGCCTCGAAGCATCAGTGGAAGAAGATGTATCGTTCTCCAGAACCTGGCAGTGCGGAGCTGCAGCCGAGGCATCAAACGGTGTGGTTTTCACAGCACTAGCTCTTACAATGGCCATCGACAAATCCGTCGACAAATCCATCCAGAAAACCAAAGCCGTCAACGTCATCGGCAACAACTATGCCGCAGTCTTTTATCGTCCCGTCGCCCGCTTTCTCGAAGGTGGATGTCTTCTCTCTCCAAATCCAGTAGTAACGACAACATGGACGAAGACGAAGATATTTTTTACGAATACAGAGAGAACCACCAAACAAAAACCATTGGCAAGCGAGAACTGCAGCAAAGGGAACAAAAGGGCGCCTGGGCCCTGCTGGCTGCCCTCGAAAAGGCCAAGGAGGCCCAGTACGTGGAGGTTGCCAGTCTCATCACGTCGCTCGAAACCCTCCTGCCCCGAGAAGGGCAACAAGGAACCGACGAGAACGGTGAAGAAGGCGCGCGGCAGCCGGTCCAATGTTCCTCTAGAAGCAACAAGCTTCCTCGCTTTTCTGTAGAGGACACCAAGAGCCTTACCGGCGACGACGTGGTCGCAYTACTGGAGGCCACTCGCAGCGGTCGGCTCATCGAGATCCACACCATCCGAGCCCTAATCGAGGCCGCCACGGTTGTATTTCGGTCGAGGCATCCGGACCGGCTGGTGGAACTCCCGCCCCTTTCGAAACTGCAGCAGGTGCAGGTCGTTGGAGACCTGCACGGATCGCTGAACGATCTGGCCACCGTCCTGGCCCTCATGCAATCGAGGTCTGGGGAGCCCTGTGCTTCCAACAGGATATTGTTCAACGGCGATCTGGCCGACCGGGGGGAGCACGGGGTGGAGGTGATCTGTATCGTCTGTGCCCTCAAGCTGGCCTATCCCGAGTTTGTCTTTGTGAACCGCGGGAACCACGAGGACCTGGCTCTGGCCATTGCCTACGGACTGGCCGCCGAGATCACGAGAAAATACGGGGCGGGATGCCGCAAGGTACTGAGGCCGACGCTGGATGCCTTTTTCCGGGCCCTGCCGCTGGCAACCGTGATTGAAAGAGATGCACTGATTGTACACGCGGGTCCACCACCACCGTCCAGCGATGGTAGCGGACTTGCAGACCTCTTGCTCAGAGACCATCCTATTCTCACCGGCTGTGGCCTGTCACGGACCGTCGTGGACACTGGCTGCAAAAACGACAACAGCAGCAGCAACAACAAACTCCAGAAGGAAGAGAAAGTGTCGAAGCAGATCATTGAATCGATGCTATGGTCGGATCCACTAGTTGACGAGTGCGAGGGGACGCTCCACGACTTTGGGGACGTTGAAAACGACATAAGTGGCACCGGTAGCAACCGATGGGTTCCAAATATATCTCGAGGAGCGGGTTACAAATACGACGCCAGCGTGGTTCGGAATCTGCTCAACCGAGAGGGTCTTTCAAGAATGGTCCGGTCGCACGAGCCGGTGCGGGATGGATGTGTACGGTATGTCATTGACAACTCTTCCTACAACAACTCGAGCTGTCCCAAACACAAAAACAAACCCATGGAATTATTTACGGTGTTTTCGGCCTCGCGATACCCCTACAAGGAAGGATTCAATCAGGGAGCTGTATTGGAGCTTAAAGCCAATGGAGAGCACTCTGTTCTTCGTTATGCAACAGAAGATGACGAGCCCTTAGAGGTAGCAATGACGATAGCGAGCAGCAGTGTAACTGAAGAAAATTCTAGAGAGAGCAGAAATGCGACGAGAGAGTACGCCTGTGCCATCGATTCGGACGACATTCGCCACACGCTTCTAGAAGCACTACGATACAATCGAACTGCCATACGAAACAGCCTGAGACTTGCGTCCGTGAAGCACCAAACAATTCCGTTCGAAACCGTKGTAGACATTGTCATTGAAACCCTGAATCTGGGTAACGAAGGGAACCACCTGAAACAGATCGGTGCCAAAACAACACTTGCCAAGGCTATGGGAATTCAGTGCCCGGACACGGAGCTACCACCCGAACACGTCGATGTCGATCGGTGTTTTGAGGTCCTTCTCGCCAATCCAACCGACCGTGCCACGCGGCCGCAACGCAGCCTCCGGAGCTACGATTCATATCCGTGGCTCTTTTCAGTCTTTGAGCTGCTGGACACCAATCAGGACGGATTCCTGAGTCGATCGGAATGGGACGAGTGCGTCCGAACGATCAATTCCAAGCTACCAGAGGGACTGGGCATCGCCGCCGATCGAACGTGGGAGGTGCTGGACACCGAGGGTTACGGAAAAATCACCATGGCAGAATGGGAACGGCTGGGCCACGCAATCGAGTCTGACATTGCGAGGCTCGACTAGACTCAAAAAAATTGGCAACGAGAATGCATCATTGGTGCATCACAAAGAATACCACCGAATGCCGCTACCTGTTTCCGTGCCTGTCTGTTGTTGTATCCATTGTATGTTACATTATACTATATTACCATTTACAACACCAAAAATTGTTCGACGAGAGTGCGACGAAGGGTACACAACATTATCTCGTCGGGTGAAGCCCCGATGAGATCCAAACTTGTGCGCTGACTTGTGGTTTCTATGTTGCCGTCAACCCAAAAACTCTAAAACATAGCACTTGTCTAAGGATAGCTGTCCTGGTTTCTCTTTGCTGCACTGTTTTGTGGTGGTTTGGTGGATCACCTTACTATGGGCCTGTTCCTTCTGTTGGCTGAAAACTTTATGGYGTCAGTAACTTCTAGATGATTATTCCAGGGTTTGTCAAACAAAGTGGGATTGATGAAGAGAGCTACGATTGCATCTCAGATTTCCTTGTAATAGCGATGGGTTTTGGGAACAGTCGGGATGTGATAGAATTTTGAAGGCTTGCCGCTTGGGAAATCCGACTGGGAACATTTATGGAGAGGATTGGCGGAATGCAAGGTGTTTGGTTATCGTGGTGTGAGTTGTTGGAGGTCCAGTGGGTCGTGTTATGGTGCATTGTGGCATTGTGCATTAGATCCTACTCGCATGAAGGAACGCACGTACTGGTACCGTACGTACGTACGCTACAGAAATTGAGTTTGTCCAGTTTAGCATACCCGCGTCTGTCCATGGCTCCCAAGACGCTAAAATCGTCCTTGTAGAATACGCTACGGTACTCGTACTTGACTTCATACTGAAAAATACCGACGATTGATGATTWTAATGGAACGTACCTACAGTACGGTAAGTACCGGTGCATTACATCATACGGTACAGACATCATAATGCCACTTCCGTTCCTCGTGCTCGTGAAAAAATGATTCTGTACCGTATCGTAGTACTAGTACTAATACCGTAAGAGCACAAAATACATTCAGTCTCAATCACACAACTTTTATTTCTCGATCCATTCATGTCCGGACCGCAACTACCGGCGAAGAGCACTATTCGCAAGAGAAGCGTGGCAGCTTTGGAGAGCGCCAGCAACCGCAAGGCAACCAGCAACGAAAGAGGAATCTCAAACATCCCGAGAAAAGGTTCCCCAATGGCCATGACCGCGAGACCGGTCCGGTCTTCTAACAAAGAGGATAATGCCACGGCAAACGAGGCGAAATCTTCCAGCGATGCAATGGCATCGAAATCCCCAAAGCGACAGCACTACGGTTTCCAGCCGAGTGCTAACTGGATGATTCGTTCCCCTCTGCTGTGGGCAGTTGCAGTGGTTCTACCGCTCTTTTATTGGGTTTACTCGAAACAAGGGCACGGAACGTCACTTGCGGACGCAACGAAGACATCTGATATTCCCACCGGGGATCGAGACACAACCACCACCACCATTTTGGAGGAATACCGAACCCTGATTGAACTCTCCATTCCACCCGGGGCCCTCACTCCAGGTGAACACCGCAAAGGTCGCTACGGAAAAGTCCACGCCACCTTTTGCGCCATTGACTGGGACCTTCAATCCGCTAACCCATCAACGGTCCCCATGTTCAAAGACCTCAAGGGGCGGTCCTCCTCTTGCAAGGCCACCAAGACAGTGGTGACCGATTTCTACAAGCTGGCCAGGGCCGCCAGGGACTACGACGCCGAGCAAAGCGACCGGAACGAGACAGACGAAGCCCCCTACCCGTCGGGAGTGGTCTTTCACGAGACGCGGTGCGGTTCTACCCTCGTGGCCAACCTGCTGGCGGGATCCTCTCCCACCATGGGCACCTCGCGGGTCTACTCCGAGTCGCCTCCCCCGATCGCGGCCCTCCAGGCCTGCGCCAGGAACGGTGGGAATGCCTGCGACCCGGACCTACATTCGTCCCTGATCCGTGACGTCTTTTACGTGATGGGACGACGGAGGCCAGCGAGCCCCAAGGCCGAGCAACACCGCGTCTTTTACAAGATCCAGAGCATCGGTTCTATGTCCATAGACAAGTGAGTCGTCTTTGATTTGTTGTTCATGCTTTCGAATCCATTTTCTTGCTCACCAGTAATTTATTCTCGTTGACTGCCAAAGATTCACCGCGGCCTTTCCAACCGTCCCCTGGATCTTTGTCTACCGCGACACGGTAGAGATCCTGCAGTCCCACCTACAGCAGGGGCGAACTAACCCGACCAACTCACAGGGGCAGCAGAAATCGACCGTCATTCCCAAAGTCTGCACCCGCAACTACAACCTCGGCCTCAATCGGCAGCCAGCCACCACCCTCGAGGCCATGAAGGACGCAGGTGTGGCGATAGACAAACCGCCCAGTGCAAGCCTGGATCCCATTGAGTACTGCGCGGCCCACCTCGCGGGCCTATCCCTAGCGGCACTCCACGAGCACGATCGGTGGCAATCCAACCACAAACAAGCGGCCAGCGGGGGCGGACGCTTTGTCGAGTACTCGCAGCTCCCGGATCGGCTCTGGAACGAGATTCTCCCGGACCACTTCGGGCTAGGCCGACCGCTGCCCGAGCAGGCAATCTCCAACATGGAAACCATCGCGGGGGTCTACAGCAAGGGCCGGGGAAAGAAGGCCAACCAGGAATGGGCCAGCGACTCGGAGGCTAAACAGGAAACGGCCTCGAAACAGGTCACAGAGGCCGCGAAGCGCTTTGCCTCGGGAGCCTATGAGCGGATGAAGGCACTGTCATCGTGACGAAGCACGGCATAGCAAGAAATAAAGCAATTGTAGTATGTACGCCACATGTTACCATGCTCTACGGCATCGAGATGACAGATATTTGCAACCCACGATCAAAGCGGCTTGTTTGTTATTGATCTCGGGTGTGAAAAAGTGCCAGCGTTCCTTCTCGATGCTCGAATTTTCTCTGCTGTATCCGCTGTGTCCATGTTGGTTTCTGCCCATCGAACCTTTGCCAATCGAGCTGGATTGGAATGGACAACAGCAGTTTGCAGCTAGTTGCCCTCTTTATTGCCGTTCGTTCTTGCTCCGGGAAGCCACAAGATAATTTTCCATGTTGAAACAGTGGTTTCCCTGTTCTCTTACATGGGAAGACTCATGTGTATCTGGAGCAACGGATTCCGTCATGGTTTTGTTTGCCGATCCTTCGGGTTGTCTACAGACCCGAACCCCGTTGTGGTTTGGAATAGCGCAAGTCGTAATAGTAACTTGGTGTCAACATAGCAGGGGTTCGCTCGGTAGAACGATCTGTGTGTTCGAGGAAATTTTCCAATATTGCAAGACAAGCCTCGCAAAACACCCACGATCCAGTCGAAGCGTGATTGGCTCGCAGGAAAGGAGGGTTCAACTCGAAAAGAACAGCGGCTTGCGTGATTCGGAACCATGAAAGTTTGTTCTGGGATGTGCAATAGATTTTGTGGTAGTGTTTGCGATTTTTCCTCCATGAGCAGAAGCCAACGCAGAAGCTTTTCAATAGCAGTTGTGAACACAAATACGTACTCTAGTTTAGCTTTGTATTCAAACGAAGAGCACTAATACAATACGATTKGTGCGAGTGCTTGTATCCTTGAATCAACGAAAAAACTGGGCGACATAGTATTTTCCTTTGTCAATCCAATCTCAATCTGTTCCCCACACCACCTTGTCCTACTGCTACTTCAGAGGATGAGTTTGACTACACGGATCGGTTTTTCGARATTAGGTCGTATGCTACTGTAGCCGGTGCAATGGCAGTATTGATTGCAAGAGCATTAAAAAATGAAAATAGAGCAGTTATTGTTACAATCTTTGGTTCTACATGTTGGAACATTACATCTGGAAGGATTCTTCGTAGAACACGCACTCGGCAACGCGATCCCGGTTGAAGTTCCTGGCATCGCGACCGCCGGAAAGACGCCTTCGTTCCGATCGGCCGGCTTTAACCCCCGACCGGATCGCTTCCAGTAATCCGTCCGGACCGCAATAAAAGACACCCGGTCGGTCTGCATCGATCAGCTCCCTCCGCACTTCGTCCGCCCACGCAGCAGGCGACGACGGAGAAGATTCATTGGAACAAGGATCGTGCAGTCCGTCGTCGTCGTCGCCGTGAAAGGCCGGCCTGCCGTTCGATATGCCCAATTCCAGAAACGAGTCGGTACGGGGCAACAGCTCCTCGTGATATATCCTACCAGGCAATAGAGAAGCAGTTCCGATACAAGAACGGGCCTCTGCACAGGATGTTCGGGCTTTCCCTCTTTCGGAAAACTCGTTTTCATTGGCAATGGCGAGTTCTTCCCCCCCACCGGTTTCGTGGTTTGGATCGACGGAAAGGTTGGATGACGAGGAATCGGGTCCATCGCCATCGGCCACGGCGTATCCCCTCCTGCGATGCCAAGCGGTGGGAGAGCACAGGCACCGGCAGCGCCACAGAAATTCGGTGGCGAATCCTGCTGCGATGGTCCAGACCACAACCGCATAGATTCCGTAGGCCCGGATCGAAAACCGGAGCCTTTCCTCTTGGACGTAATCGCTTGCCCGGTGGTGCAAAAGCATTCCAACAAGGGTGATCGATAAGAATCCTACGACCCCAATTGTAGCCCCCGAACGCGAGGAGGATGGGGAAAATTGGAACTTAGAGGGTCGCATCGCAAGACCTCTCGCAGAGATCGATGCCGAGTTTCTGCTATCTCCACAGCGGATGGAACCAACGCCATCATCGCTAGCAGAAAGTTCAAACGGGCTTTTGTCGCCGCGATCTCGCGAGGTATTGTAAATCATCAATCGGAATCGAACACCATTCGTGTTGATTGCAAGATCGCGAAATGGCGGGTCATTGGCGTTCTCGGGCAACATCGATTTGGTTTGCCACAGTTCGTGCTCTCGACCACGGAAAAGCGGCAACAAATAGGTCGCGAGAACGTGTCGGATCAGAGATTCGTCGCGGCAGCACCAGAGAAAAGAAATCGTTTTGAGAGAGGCAACTGTCTCCTGTGAACCTTCACGCAAAGCATCCCGGCCATCGGGGCTTTCTTCGTCCGCGGTTCCGGACAACACCGTGGAAAGATCATCGGTGAGCACCCGGATCAACTTCGGTAGAAAGGCCAGAAACGGTGTGACACCGGTGCCACCCGCGGCAATCACTACCGAATCGTGGCCAAGAGCACTCTCGATCCAATCCGAAGCCCCCGAATAAAATCCATCCACGAGTATGAGAGGCAAAGCTTTCGGTGTTTGATTCATCGCTTCGAGTGGATGGTCTGTAATGGGCTCTTCGTCGATGAACTCATCGCCATTCTCGTTGGCGAGACTGATACGAAAACCATTTTTGGCCTCTTGTGCATCTCTCATTCTCTTCCACAAGGACTTTGTAAAATACCCAACCGTCCCAAAAAGTATTGTGCATTGGATCGATCCACCAGCATCGCCCTTGGTAGTCCCATCTCCATTGGAGACGTCGCTGCCACTATCGCCAGCCCCGCTCGGATCGGTGCCATTGACGATTTTGTCTCCAACGTGTGCATTTTTGATAGAGTTTGTTTCAATGACCGTGAAAGGGTACCACAAGAGCGAAATGGACGGAACGCAAATCTTCACGGACACCGGACGGTAGGTGGTCCACGCCCCGCATTTTTTCCTGTCGTATGCCCCGGAAAACACACCCGTGTCGTCCACGGAAAACGTCAGCTCGGCGCAACCCTGGAGGTTGTTGCTGTCGCTGCTGCCGCCATCGTTTTCGAGGGTTCGAAAGTCCTCGATTCGGACCCCCCCATCCCGGACCGCAGAAACCATGGCTTGTATCACCGTGGGAATCGTTGTGGATAAGTAACACAGCAGCGACGGCATCAGGTAGACGGAGATTCGTTTCATGTGGAACACCATGGTGAGCACAAAGACCACGGCGCAAACGATGTGAGAGGCGTAAAAGAACCGATAGTTCTTTCGGCGGACCAGCTCGAGGCTTGTCCCGACCAGCACGGAAAAGGCGAGAATCGCAATGGCCCCGTTGAAGTTTCGGTAATACCCATAGCAGGGGAAACTTTGTCCAGAAGCGGTGCTTTCCTGTTGTTTGTCTTCGTCGAGGAGCCGAACGATATCGAGGCGGCGGTTCCCGGTTTCCTCGCCATCGCTCCCGGCACCATCCTTTCTCCCCAGAATGGGTCGGCATTCGGGTGGTGGGTAGATTGCATTCCACACGGATGCGAAGAATATTTCTACAAGACTTCGCGTCGTCGAAGCGGATCCCATTGCGGTTGCAGATGCCTCCACGCCGTCGTCCGTGGCATTGCCGGCAGCGGCAATGYCACTCGCGGCCTGCGCGGCAATGTCCTCTTGCCGATGACTGACTACTCCGAGGTACCCATAAATCACACAGTACAAGACCGAGTGCAGCAGGAACCAGAAAAAAGTCATGTATCCAGCCCATTGGTGCAGGCGCAAGGCATCTCTCATCAAATTCTCGTGGCCGTGGCTGGGGTTGCGATCGCCCTTTTGGCTGGTCTCGTTTTGGCCCGTATCGCTGTGGTGTGTTGTGCCGATACTTTCGTCGCTGCCGCCTCTTTTGTTGGTGGTGTACGGGAGGATTACCTCCGCCGACCACAGCGGGGAGTGCTTGGCGACCGTTCCAAAGAYGTACACGCCCATGGAAACCATCCCGGCCGTTCCCGCGGGCATGGCAGAGGCCAGGACCAGCGCCCCGATCCAATCCAGCAGAGAACTTTCGGTTTCCTGGCTGCCGGCCGCCTCGCCGCCGTCCCCCAGGCGCTCCGAGAGGTTTTGGCGGGCACGGTCCATCCCTTGATGGGTTCCGTACGAAAAGACCACCACCGAGGGCAGAAACACCAGGGYCCAAAACACGATCCTCCACGGCACTACCGAACCCATCCGTAGGTTTGGAAACGGCACGCGGCACCTCCTACAAAGCGCAGCCAATCGCGAGGGAGGAGGAGGAGAAGCAACAGAATCATCAATCGCTGTTGTTTCACTGGAAGGTTCCTCGTCCGCTGCTCCAMCACCATCGCTCTCGACCAGGCTTCCGCCTCGTCCTTGTGGCCGACCGGTTCTTTGGCAGCGAGCACCGCACATCGATCCAAGGCATCCCAAAACACGTTCTCCGGTCCAAACGATCAACGGACTGAGGTAGACGAGAGTGGAAGCAAAAATCCACCACCAGGACCCCATCGCATAGAGAATCACCGATGGATCTGTCCAAGAAGAAGAGTCACCGCCCGCCGTGCTATTGCTTTTTGTGCTTGTGCTGTTCGAGTTGCCATCCTCTCTTCGTTGGAAACCGTTCTTGTGCCTCTTGCTGCGGCCTCGGTTTCCCTCCGTTCGGCGATGACGATAGCGGTTGGAGCCCTTCTGTTTGTGGCCGCTCGTGCTCCTTGGCGTCTGCAGCTGGGCCCTGCTGGTGCTCGCACGGATGTCGTCGATGTTGTTGATGTTGCTGTTGCTACTGTTGCTACTGTTGTTGTTGCTGTTGCTGTTGCTCACACTACCTGCAAAAACTCCAAGGCTGCTATTGGTAGTTGTATTGCCAACGCTGCTGGTGTTGGAAGAGATGGTGGAAGGGCCGTTCTGCTCCCGCTCCTGGTGCTCTTCTTGGTGATTGCCGTGGTGGTGGTGGTGATCGTGGTACAGCTTGGAGGCGTACCATGTCAGGGCGAGGGTTCCCCACAAGAAGGAAAGAGACACCACGAATCGGAGGAAGCGTTGGTAACCGGACCGAAAGCGGGACGCCTCCATTGTTGTTCTTTGGTGCGAATCGGAAAGGAAACGAAAGGRAACGAAACGTAGCAGGGGTCTCTCACGGATTGCGTGCACTGTGTCTAACCCTGTGTGATTGGAATTGTGTCAGCTCGTTGTAGTTCCGAAAAATTGTTTCGTGGTTGGCGTCGAAAATTCATCAAGAAAGCGACTGCACACTATAGAGCTGGTGGTGACGGGATGTCTCTGGATTGATTCCATCTTGATGGTGCTAGTATCAGAACGATGACAAAAGATAATACTTCCATCCACTGTCGAAGKTAGAAAAARGAAGTTGTGCTTCATGGTCACAGCATAAAGTGTGTCCAACCGTGGATGGCGCGTGTCAGCTTTTTTAGGTACCGGTACGATTTAGAGAAACATGATGTCCTTTGAGTGTCCATTGTTCAAACGAGTCAAACAAGCATCATTTATCTTTTTGCCTTCACGGTGAGTCGTAGCTGAGCAAGTCGCTTACGAGTACTCATGTGGGTATGAACATATCTGTCTGGGTATGAACGTACTCATGTGGGTATGAACATACCTGTCTGGGTATGAACGTACTCATGGGGGTATGAACATACCTCTCTTGGTATGAACGTACTCATGGGGGTATGAACATACCTGTATAGGTATGAACGTACTCATGTGGGTACGAACATACTCATGTGGGTATGAACATACCTGTCTGGGTATGAACGTACTCATGTGGGTATGAACATATCTGTCTAGGTATGAACATATCTGTCTGGGTATGAACATATCTGTCTGGGTATGAACATGTCTGTCTGGGTATGAACATACCAGTCTGGGTATGAACGTACTCATGTGGGTATGAACATATCTGTCTGGGTATGAATGTACTCATGGAGGTATGAACATACCTGCGTAGGTATGAACTTACTCATGGGGGTATGAACATACCTGTCTAGGTATGAACGACTCATAGGGTAGGGCACTACCCATACATATATATCGTACTATCAACTTTCGGTGACAGTTTTCACCCAAAAAACTCCAAAACCAAAACTTCTGTTTCAGGTACAAGTACCTGGTACAGGACGTACGTACGTACACAAACGAGTTCTCACTCGAAAGCACTCAAAAGTGACTCAGTCCGGTGTTTCGGTCAAGTTGGACAGGAGAGGAGATGATGGGATCGTCTTTCTTTCTGGTACCGTACACCGACTACGGTAGAAGGGTACACAGTGGTGGATGCTGCATGTGAGCAACGCTGACACTCGCCACAAACAAGGGAAGGAATCGGATACCGCAACTTGTGTTTGCAACTTTCTTGCAAGGAATGCCGCCACCGAAATCGAAACCGAGGYGTCGGAGACCTGTCGCCTCGCTTTTGCCGCGAACCTACCGTGTCCTGGCGGTTGCGTTCTGTGTGGTCCGGTCCGGAATCCTGCCCGCGAAGTTCGGTCATGCGTTTGTCCCGCTGCCCACCCGCGTCGGGGGTTGGTCGAAGCCAGAGGCCCTTAAGACACCGATCTCCCCCACRGAACTTGGAATGGCGGCGGACGGCGATCGATCTTCGGTTCCAACGAATCGGTTCTGGAACCAACTGGAATCGATGGTCTTTGGTTTCCTGGACGAGGAAAGCGGAAACGAYGACCAAAACGGCGGGGAAAACACCGAYGATCCCCGGTTGGTCCTGGCGGAATGGAACAGCCTGTTGGAATGGGTCGGCGACGAAAACGAACGAATCGCAAGGGTGGAAAGCCTGACGAATTTTCTGGAGGTCTGGGCGAGGCTGACGCTCTCGGACGACAAGGGGCTAACGACCCCCGTCTCGTGCTCCAAGTTCAAGGCCACCGGGCAGCAAACCAAAAAAGGTGCCACCGCGACGAGAAGGGGCACCGTTTCCTCGTCGCCACCGATCCCTGTCGCCGACCCCCCGGAGCATGCAGAGCATCTAGAACAGCAACAACGCACCATGAAGCTGGTGTTTCGGCCGCCGAAGCGGTACCTCAGCTACAAGGAGCAAAAGTCCATGGAAAAGGGCGTTCTGCCAGACCGAAAGGGCGCCAAGGTCGATGCCTGGAGCCCGGGTGGGGTCGAAATCACGGTCACCACTACCACCACGAAAACCACGACACCGATGGATAGATCCTCTCGCAAACAAGCCCCTACACTACACGACAATCCTATCGGTCGCCACGGAGCGGAAGCGGAAACCGAACAACAAACCGAACAACGCCACAAACTCGGCGTTGTGGTTCGCCGCTGCGACATCGATGGAGATACGGTCATCAAAAAAACAACGGAGCGGGCCATTGTCCGGCGACTGGAAGACGCTCTCCGGATCTGGAAAAAGAACAATGCTTTGAAGCAGCAAGAGAGGCAGCACCGGTGATCCTTCGGGTCTCGCCACGCTCTTTCCTTTTGGAATTTCCGCTCTATCCTTGGGGGGAAGCAGAAAGCCGGGAAACAACGCACGAGATTGCGTTGAAAAACGACTGAAAACCAGGGAGGACGGCAATGGGAGCAGACGATGGGTGAAAAAACGACTGAAAACCAGGGAGGACGGCAATGGGAGCAGACGATGGGTGAATGGCTGCGCAGACACGGCTCCACCATGTTTATTGCCGTTCCGTCGTTTCGGAATATGAGTGGATTCCATGAAGGGGACTCCGATTTGAGGGATGTTCATTTCTTTGCAACGCACCTGCCGATTAGAGACATACGATCGGCACACAACACGAGAGTGCCCTTTCGATTTCCTTTTCAGGCAAGATGACCCTTCCATATCGCAAGTGTATGGATTGATATATCAAGGTACACATACCAGGTACCATGGTCTTCATCAAATCAACCTTTCTACTGCTGAAAATAAAATGCTCCTAGTAGTATGCCTCTTCTTATGCATTACTTCTGAGCAGGGAACAAATGGTCCAACAGAAAATATCATAGATGAACCATTTAAAATGCGTTAGCATTCTATTCATAACGATCTCTTTGAATGGGTTGAATTTCGTTAGATCACGGGCACCAAATGCCAAAGTTATTGCGCCTTATCTTATTCAGTGTTTCGGTCTCTCCTGCGGTTTGAGGGACCATTGCTGTGTCAATCGTCGGTGTGGTCAAACACAGTTTTGGGGGGCAGGAAACAACCTCTGGAGGCACGGACGATATGGCAGGTCATTTTTTATTCATCGAAAGCGGAAACACACAGTATACGGCACAAAGCAACAATTGTCAGTTGTGTCATTAAGTTGTTCTCTATTAAGCAGCCAAAAGATTTTTCCAACATTCCGTCAATCTTAGCAGCAATCGATTCTCCATTAACGGTGTTTACTGCGATTTGATTTGATTCAATTCGCGTTGCTTTGCTTCGGTCGTCAACCAACGAATCCCTCGTCTTCTTTGTCTCGATGCGATCGATCTATACGGAGAATGTAATGCTCTGCTCTTTTGCCGCTTCCAGTATGTTGGCCCGGGCCTCCTTGGGGAGCTCGGCAGGGTACCACACCCCCGGTGGAATGGTCTCGCTTTCCGTGCCGGTTTTCAGAACCTCCAGGGCAAAGGCCGCCGTGGCCAGCCCCACGCAGACCTCCAGGTCGTCGTGAACGATCTGCGCCGTCACCGTTTCGCTCCCGTCCTCGGAGACCACGTCCACCCGCATAGCGTTGGTCGCCCCCACCAGCTTGTCGACGAAGCGTATTATGGGCTCCGAGAAGAGGGCGAATCCCTGCATCAGGTCCCGGTTGTACAGGACGCTCCGGGGGATGGCCTTCATGGCCCCAAAGAGGTAGTTCCAGGGCAGTGGGTCCGTTCCGAACCGGCTTGCAACGTTCGGGACCCCCAGGGAGAGGGCCGTGGTGGGAACGTCCGGGTTGTCGAGCAGCCAGTTGGGCTTCTTGCCGACGGCGGGCCCGAAATCGGTTTCCCTGGGCTCCGTCCACGGCTCCAGCAGCGTCTTGGCCCCGTTTCGAAAGGCGATGACGGGCGTGGCCAGCAGCAGAAAGGTCGCCGAGACAATGGTGGGCCCGGCGTTCCCCGTTCCGGCCGTGAAGAAGGAAAAGTCGATCGATCCGGGCTCCTTCCCGTCGTCCCGGAGTTTCCCGACGGCCTCGGCGGCCATCAGCGCCGAGACCCCCGGCCAGATCCCGGAGGCCACCACCGCCGCCACGCCGTTGGTGGTGGCCGCCTCCCCGGAGCCCTCCTTGGCGGTCTGCGCCAGCTCAAACTCGTCGCAGACGTCCACGTAGGGAATCCCGTGTTTTGCGCAGCACCGCAGGAGGGTCGGATCGGTCCGGCCCTGGAAGGGCCCCGCCGTGTGAACCACCAGGCCGCAGTTGCAGCCAAGAATGGCTTCCTCGATGACCTGGTCTGTCCACCCGGCCCAGTCCAGGTGGACAAAGCCGATCTCCTGGTTGGAACAGTTTCCGTTGACGCAGTCCGGATCGGCTGGGGGGATCACCCCGGTTTGCTTGGCCTTCTCGAAGGACCGGCGGGATCTCCCACCGACCTTGATCCGCAGGTCCATGGAGGGGTCCCGCGACGAGAATTCCTTGAGCCATCGGACCGTCGATCCGCCGACCCGGCCCGAACCCCCCACCACTAGGACGTTGGTGGTGGTCTGTTTTGGGTTGGAGAGCGAAGACTTTTCTGGCAGCGGGAGGCCGTCGTTGTTGTTATTGTCGTCCTGGACCTTGTTTCTGGGTTCCGCCAAGAGAGACAGAAGGCTGGAACGAGCGCATTTGCTTCTCTGTGCGGCCCATGTTTGAAGTGGGGACGACGTCGATGGATTGTGGTTCGATAGAGCAAAACCGTCGACCCGGTGGCCTCCCCAGAGCAGGCAATAGAGAACGACGACGCTCGTCGCCTTGATTCGCTTGGTCATGGGGCTAAAGAAAATTTCCTACCGCCAATGGTTTCCGATGGGTTCTAATCACACCAAGCTTCCAATGACAACGATGGTGAAGTATTTCCTGGTAGTAACCGGGTAGTGAAGATGGTTGCAATTGTGTGGGTTTTGGATTTTCACCCTTCGCATTCGGATTACTGTATTGGCGTATAAGGTACCGTACGGTATGTAGAGGTAGCGTTCCGTAGAACATGGCCTTTACCGATGAAAGGACAAAATCTTGTGACGACGGTGATAACTCTGACGACAACAGGAATAGGAAATAGGATTCTAAAATAAAACAAACATTCGAACGTACGGCACGTACTACTCGTACGTAGTATCCTTCGTAGATTTCTCTGCGGTAGGTGTTTGAACGTACTATCATATGTATTGTACATATTATACAAATTCTAAAGTCACGAGTCCTACCGAACCGCGGGGGCGCGTCGTCGGACCCATTGGATTCGAATTGCTCGATAGAAAAAACAGTTATTTGTTGGTTAGCGTTCAGCGATAACAATAGTATTGATAACGGTCCGGCAGCATGACCGTTTGGTTTCGCCATGCTCTCGGCTTAAATAACCATCCCATCGCCCACGAAATCAATCATTTTAAATTCTGGTCGTCGCCGTCATTGCCACAGAACATACCATCAAGAGAAAATCACCTTGTTGTTAACTTCGTACTTCTTGTACCGTACTGCTGGTGCCTGATCTCGTCAAGCTTGATGATGATAGGCTACAAGTACATACGGGACGATAGGATATGGTAAATCTGATTCGGAACGTTCGATGTTGACAGCGTCCCATCACCCAACAGGTATTTATTCTTCAGAGGATTGACGTAGACCGTCCCATCGATCGGTCAACCCAAGTCTATTGATCAATCGTTCCTTCAAATCACACTAGATACAACATTGAATTAGCTTCTTAACAAGGAGACAGGAGATGAAAAAGAAAAAGTGCAGGACCCCCATCGGGTTCGACAGAAACCGGAGCTCGGCCAGTACCGCCATCATGGGCAACACCGGAAAAATGATGCGCGCCAAGGTGTACAGTCCACACCCGAAGCCTCCAATGATCGAACCACCCCCGCCGCAACAAGACTCCCGGGAAGAATTGGAAGCTGCGGCAACCGTCGGCAAGAAGGGCAGCAGCAGTAGCCACAACAGAACGACCGAAAGTCAAACCGGCGCCAGCATCCTCGAGCAACTCACCATCATGGAATCCTCCACCTCCTCTCTCCGAAAGAAAAAAGGAGGCAACCACCGTAGTCGCCGAAAAAGCTTGAACGGGCCCACGGAACCCCCGCCTGAGGAACTCGTAGTCCGTCACGGCATGCAGGAATGCATCTCCATGATCCCGGAACCCAGCCAAGACCAGGCGTCCCCGAGCAAAGGCAACAACATTCGAGACAACGGAAGAGACGGTTCGAACAACGGGGCCAACCCCTTGTTCAACTTTGATCTGGTCCCGACCATGAYCAAAGACACGACGTGGAACCAGAGAGAGATCCCGAACAACGTCGYCGACGACGACAACGGTACGATAGGCGCAACCTTCAACCCCGGCCCGGGCCCCTTTGCGGGTGACGACGGATCGAAGCGTTCGTCCACCTCCCGCTCGATCCACAAAGCCACCAAAACGACCGAACAACCAACACAGCACTCAAAGCACGGCCGCAGCGACGCTTCGGGTAAGAAGAAGAAGGATCGCTCCGTCCACGAGCGCTCCACCCACGACTTTACGAAACAACACAAAAGCACCATCCACCACGGGAGGAAAGAGCGTTCCACCCACGGCCACGACTTCACCAAACAGAACAGCAAACACAACACCCTGAAGAAAAACAAGAGCATCAATTCGGACACGCTCGCAGCACTGTCCAAGCTCGAGATCACCGGGACGGAGAGCACCGCCTTTTCGTCGGATTGCACGTCCTACGATACGAACGACTCGGTGAGCTTGGCCAACAGCAGCAGCCACAAGCTGCACCAAAAGGCCTCGTATTGCATGGTGTTCGAGAGCATCCTATCGGTTTTTGAAAAATGAATCAATAGATAGCAAAAACGAAGCGAAATGACACGGAGCGATACGAAGCAAACGAATAAGGCCAACAAGAAACACCCATTGACATCGCAATCAACTGYCATCGCTACACACCGTGTAAAACCGTTTTACACCCCATCAAGAAATGTCAATAACAGTACTGTAACATGAAAATAATACGAAGTATATCTCTATTTTGTTTTCCATTGTACTGTACGAGACTTACACACAGCAGTGCTCGAAAATGCAGATCCCATTGGTGTAGTACAGTATACAATATCGTTACCATCATTTCCCTTGCTAGACCCGAATGGGTTCGTTGGCATGGTTCCAGAACGATATCCTGCCGACCAGGACTTCTGCCTCCCCAGAGAAGTCTATGCGGTGGGCCGCCCCCGATTCCACGAGGGCGGGCAAATTGTTCGACAGAGAGGCCTTCACGTCTGGGGCACACCACACCGTAAGGTGGGGAAAGGCGTTGGCGCACGGTGGAACTGGCAGCGATGGGGAGCCATCCGAAACGGGCGATACCTTAACGGAGAATGCAGCGTTTTCCAAGCTCCATAGAAACCCGGTGATCGAAACAGAAACCTCTGTGCCTTGTAGGTGATGAAATCTTTCTACAAGCTGCTCGCCCGAATGGCTCTCACCGGCAAACGACATGGTGAYGTGGGTCTTTTCTGTGAAACAGGGGGAAGGGTACCGTTCGCTGCTGCTTCTGCTTTTGATGCTRYTGTTGTTGTCCAAGCCATCTTGTTTTATGTAAGATGCCGATGCTGCTTCTTGCGCATCTGTTTGTGGCCGTTTCGTTTGTTCGAAAAAACCGGCAAGGGCCCCGGATTCTTCGTGCKTGTAGAGAAGCTCGTGGATTTTGGCCCTGTCGATGTCGAGGGACACCAATTTGATGCTGCTTTCGGTGGCGTTGTCGCTGCCTTGGTCATTTGCGACGGTATGCTTTGCATCGGTATCGTCCGCTGGACCACCGGTGGTTTGGGTGTCCGAGTTGCTCTTTATTCTATCTATAAGCTGGTGCACAAAAGCTTCCTTGGCAACATCCAAACCCACCGACATTGCTGATAATGTCTCTTTGTGCATCTCGAAGCTTGAGCGCAGCCTTCCTTCTAGGTCGATCATCTGTGGATCATCCTTTTTCACCTTGAATTTCTTCGCTTTGTCGTGACCGTGTCGCAGCTGAAGTGCCTCCACGAGTAGCTTCTTTAAATCATCCGGGATGACCTTGGATTCATCAGGTCCTTTGAAGAAGGGCAGCTCGATGGGGTTCATTGTCTTTATCTTTGATTCGCTGTCGTTCCCTAGCTTCTCTTCTAGTTTCTCCATGAATGCATCGGCAGCAACGTAGCGATAGAAAGAGTAAAACTGGGCGACAATCATGCACGCCATGGGAAAGCCGCTGTCTAGCTTTCCCGCGTGTTCCCCCGGGGGTCGATCTAGAACCCGTGACATCGATACGGCTAGGTAGTCCAGTGAAAAGGGATAGAAGTGAGATGCACTCGGAAGAAGGTCTCCACTCGGCTGGATCGAGCCCTTGATAGTGGTAGTTTCCAGGACCGTTTTGTCCGGCAGTACTGGAAGCAGAACGCCGTTGGAATCGCTGCATATCTGACCGAGTTTCGGCCAGGATGCCGGCGGTGTGTTTTTGTCCGCCAAGACGAGCGGGGGGGATGGGTGGTCCCCGTCGTCGTCCGACAACAGGTCTTCGATTGCGTCCCAAAATTTCTTTCCCATCTTGTCCCCCTCTCGTATACGAACGCTTCTGTCGTATGCATCGCCGTTCTCCGACTTGCGAGACGAAAGTTCTTGCTCCAGTCTGGTTTCCAGTGTTGCCAGTAGACTCGACTTTCCACAGCCAGGAATGCCAGGGAAKAATACCAATATACCACCGAGGCGAGGATCGGATTGTTGCTTGGCCGCTTGTTCCATCASTGAGCGACCCACGGCTCGAACGGASTTTACAACTTCACTCGCACCAGCCAGTTCGGTAAGCACGGCGACGGTAGAATCTTCCTTTTTTGGTTCGAGCACCACAACGGACGACGCCAATGCTATACGTTCGGCGCAGGGGTACTTTTTCCATGTTTTCCACATGTGTGTGAGTTTCTTCCCCTCGCCCGTGGTTTCAATGTCTAGCCAGGACGACGGGCGAGCATCGGTGGGCGATCTTGCCATCGCCAGAATATCTTCCTTGCCGGATCCCAGCAGGATCAGAACCAAATTTTTTGCCATCTTCTTGTCGAACAGAAACTTTTTAATCCCCTTGGTCTGGTCACAAACATTGGCATACGCTATGCACGATTTGCAGCGACGGTTTTTGGCGGCTTCTCCCAGCGCAAAGATCGGCATCGTTCCGGTTCCGCTGTTGCTTTCTTGGTCGGTCGCTTCGGTTTCGCTGAAATGGCGGGCCAAATGATCGGCCAAGGCACGGGACACCTCTGTCGACTGGGATACAACACAAACGAACACATAAGATTCTGGGGAGCTCAGGGGAGAAGCGGAAGCCATCGCTTTGAATGTTCCAGCATCGTAGAGCTTGGTATAATATTCGAGGTGTCTCAGATAGGAAAAGTTTGTTAAGGGTCCCAGCTCAAACGATTTCTCATCGATAGCGTTGGGCTGGCTTTTGGTACCGGTATCTTTGGTAAGACCGTTCGAATCTCCTTCACGCGCCCTTTGATCTTGTGAGTTCTTCACTTTTAGCACGTACGCCGCCCATCCACAAAAGAAGGCCATCCATCGCTCCTGTGCTTCCGGAGATATCTTCCATTTTTCGAGCAATCCTCTGGCCACACGTTCGAATTCCTCGGCCCCTTTTTTCTCGATGGTCCCCAGGAGATTCCGGCACACAAAGGTCCGTACCATGTACGGCAGGAGTTTCATTTTCAGCATGAGTGGAGGTCCGGTCGACACAGGCGCTGGTTCGATTGTCATGTCGGCACTGGCGTCTTTGTCAGTGTCGGACTGGATTTCCTCTGGCGGTGAAAGCAGTACCTCGACACAAAATCCCCGGAAGAGAGTCATGTCCGACGGGCGCTGGACGTTTTGGAACTTGAAAAACGTTGAATCGTTGCGAACGTGAATGGTGCAATACAATCGCCTGCGTAGATCTCGATCCATCGTTTGCGTGTGATCACAACCGGGTTCATTGCCTTTTTGCTTTTCCTCGTATTTTTCCATCCACGTGTAGTTGATGGCCCCGCCCTTGAGGTCGTCCAGGGTTTGCAGCAACGCAGCAATCCTTCTGGTTTCTCTGTCCTTGGAATGAATCAAGTCTTTCGCTAGTGCCGGCAAATGGTGGTTTTTCCAATCGGTGAAACCCCCGCAATCATCGTTTTGGGCTTCGAGTTTTTTCAGGTCGAACCGGTGATGGATTCGTTTCCTGCGTTTGGCCTGTTGGCAATCGTCTTTTTCTCGAACTGCATCGCCTTCGCTCCCGACGCTGCAACAAGTCCCCGATAAAAGCTCCCCGAGGCGTTCCGAAAACAAGGCGGCTCGTTTCCGTCCGGGAGCAATTGCCGACGCAAATTTTCCATCCTTTTCTTGGGCTTTGTTCCCGCCACTGTTCGAAGCGTCATCGCTGGTTCCATCGTTGCTGGGCACGGATATCGACCGATACAACGCCCGAAGATCTGTGGTCAACACGGGATCAGAATCGATGCTTGTGTTGGAGATCTTGTCGGCCGATTTAGAGGCTGGCGGAGAGGAGGCTCTGCTCGGTGGGACTTCTCCCAGTATTTCGGAGGAAACCCGCGCCAGTCGCTCGACCTTTTCTCGCTCGGCCTCGTGGTGGCTATCGACGTAGCGGACGATGAATCCCTCGCACACACTTCCCTGGTAGATCGAATGCGGAACCGGGCTCGGAACGTAAACATCGGCGATCTCTGTGAGTTTCCGGACCGTTTGCTCCGTGTCCCCGGTCTCGCGCAGGGATTTGTCGTACAGATCAAACAGGCGCGTGGCACTCCCGGTACTGCTGCTGTGGCTTTTGGAGTCTCCCGGGAAAAACGTCCAGACGTCGTTGTGTGGCAATCGGAAGTCGTGGCAGAATTCCAGAACCTCCGTGGTGGACAAGAATCGTTCCCTTCCCCGATCGGCCACCGCCGTGACCACCACGTAATCCAGGTTTGGGATYTGTCCGTGGTCGCCAAGCATCTCCGCTGTGCAAACCTCAAATGCCACGGTATACCGGTTTTGGGAAACAAAGAAAGAGCATTCCTCGTAGGAGCGAAACGGGCGGGCCGGCGTGGTGTTGGTGTCGCCGCTGTTGTGGTTTGCGAGTGCCCCCCGGACCGTTTCGAATCGCTGCCTCAGCAAAACCTCGGCAGTGCGGGTGAATTCGTTGCAGGCACTGTTCTTGGAGTAGTACCTGGTGGAACCACTCCACAGCACCAGGGATCCCGAGTGCTTCAGAGAAACCTCTAGATGACCCCTGCCCGCTGCGGYGGTGGGTTTCGTTTTGGGAGAAGACGCAGTACTCGTATCGTTCAAAGGCGAAGCACTCCTTGTTTCTGTTTCACCGAGCTTTTCCAGCATGGCACTTCGAATGTTGCTGGACATGCCGCCTCCCTTGCTCGTGTTCGCTTTGTTGTTCTTGAGGTTGCTGTTCTTWCGTTCGTTGTCGAACTTTGGATGGAAGATGGCCTCTAGCCTCAATCCACGAACGACGAAATTGTCACCATTYGTGTTCCCCTCGGACATGGTGGCGTCTTGGGAAGGTGTCGTATTGGYTTCGATGGTGCTTTGATGCCTTGGTGAAATTTCACGGGGACGCTTACGAGACGACGGTGATGGCGATGGTGATGGAGATGGCGATGGAGATGCCTTGTTGCCACTGATGTTGCTGTTGTTGACTTCCCCGTTTCGTGGCGATGATGATAAAGATAATGTCCTATCAGAAGGGTGATCGCGATCACAAGCAGTGTTTTTAGTACTCATTTACAGCAGGCGCAGCGCACAGAATGCACTCTCTTGTGGTCCTCGTCTGCTTTGCACGATCTCCGCTTGCGACTTTGGTTCACCGTGGGCACGTTTCGAATGCAGGTGCCGATGGACCGATTGATCTGGCTGGTCGTTTGAAACCATGTGGTGGCCAAAATGAACTGCTAGGAACGACGATGGGATTGAACGCGAGATCAAAAAACTACGATCGGAAACAATCAATGGATCAACTTTGAAACAACGCGGTGATCTTTTTCGCGCGAACTTTTCGGTTTTTGCGCGCAAGGTCACGGACCAAAATCCAAAACTCGAAAATCCATGCGCAAAAACCGTTGCGCGTATTATGCGGAAAAAGAACGGACTGATAATGATGTGTACGTACGAGTACGTAACGGTACGAGTACGAGACCGGACCGTCGACTGATGGATCTGCTCAACTACTTTGAACGATGACGCCATGACTGTGAGCCAAGGCTTTCTCGTTCATGCAACAACTAACCATTGTTCCATAACCTCGATCAGCAGCTATCTTGAGAAAAATTCTCGCCAAGTGCAATACACAGTTGAGGCCGGAGAGGCAAGACAATCGATACAAAGTGATATAKAAGATCATTTACGCATTTTGGTCCAAAGAAATTCATGAACCCGAGAACGACAAGATTTCTTCTGTTCCTCTTCACCCATCGCAACTCGGCCCTCGGAATCCGAAGCCAAAGCAGCTGCAGTCCAGGAGACTTGGGCATTCCATTTCCATCACCCGGAATCAAAAGCATCACCCGCAACGCAACAAAGAGAAACTTCACTTCGCCAAACAGTGCTRCCATGTCGTCGTCCTCTGAGAACAACGAAAGCACCGACTTTTCGAAACGGGCSGAACAGAAATGGAGCCGGGCCGCCAATTCGTACGTGCGGTATTTCGAGCCGATGACCGTGACCGCGGGGCGCTTCCTCCTGAGCCTCCTCAAGCTGCGGTTTCGGGAAAAACCGCTCCGGGTCCTAGAGGCMGGGTGCGGCGCCGGTGGGCTCGCGAGGGAGCTGCTCCTGGACGCGGGGWCGTCGACGTCGACCCTTTCGGTTTCGGAGCTGGTGCTGACGGATCTCTCCGAGGGAATGCTGGAGCGGGCGAGGGAGGCCCTGTCCGGGATTTCCTATTCCAAAGAGCGCGCCATCCGTGTCTCGCTGCGGCGGGCCGATTTTATGGGCTTTKACCCCGAGGCATTCCCCGACGGGCACTTTGACCGGTATTTCTCGAATCTCTGCCTGCACTACGCCGAGGACCCCGATGCGGTGATCACCGAGGCAGCGAGGGTGCTGGAATCGGAGGGGATTGCCGGATTCACCGTCTGGGGGCGMAAAGCGGACAGCCCCGTCATGACCATTGTTCCGGACATTATGGAGCGCTTCCAAAAGACGACCGCAGCCAAGGTGGAGCAGCTGCAGCAGCGTCCCAAGCGGAGCTCCTTTCACATGGGAGAGGACGACCACGCCCTGCGGCAACGCATTCTTGCCGGTGGATTTTCCAAGTGCACTATAGTMCACTACCCCGCGGTCCTGGAATCCCTGGATCCGGCGGATTACGCCGAGGCCATTCTGGACGGGGCACCCTCCACCAAGAAGGAACTGGAGGAAGACTACTCCCCTGGGGACCAGCAAGTCATCCGCCGCATGGTCCGCGAGCGGGCCGAGGAACTTCTTGCGGGGGGCGAGCCGCTGATATTGGACATGGCCATGGTAGTGGCACAGAAATAGTAGAGGCAACCAACCACACCAAAACGAAACCAAAAACTCGGTTAGAAAGCTAGTCCCTGTGTCGTGGGCCACAGTATCAAATGAATCGTTTTCATTGATACAACACGAATAGAGATACCAAGACAAAAGAACCTGCCTACCGACCAWTACTACATTGTTATCATGCGTTATGCGTTGTACACCGAACGAATACTTGTAGTACTAGTACTACTACTAGTAGTACTACGATTTTTCATCAAAAAAGGACGAACATTTCTGGGGGATTCCACGACAGAGCCGATCTCGTTATCAGTTTTCCTCAATACAAGGGATATGGCTTCAATTGTAGATACTACAAACATTCTAGAACGCAATTTGCTCAGTGCCTTGGATTGAAACCACAAGGACATTCCCCATTCCCGTTGCCCGGCAAATAGTAGTGACTAACTCAATCCATTCCCGTTTTAAAGGTTCCACGTTTGAAAATAGAAAACGGTAGATTTGGGGGAAAAAATAAACGTAATCGATAATCGACACCAGGGGTCAAATCGACACATCATCGAGTACGTACTCGTAGTACGATACCGTACGGCAGTACGGTAGGTTTCTTCCTTTGCTTCAACTCTCGAATTGAACCGAGACTCGAAAAGCTTCCACCTCAACTACGATACAGCGGGAGACGACAACGATGGTGCTCCATCTGACTTGACACTCCGAATTCAATTTCTCGAAGCATACAAATCTCATCCCCGTCGTATAGCGATTGCGATAGTCAACGATCAGACCATGGTGCCTTCTCGGATACTCGCACGATGGATATTGTCATCAATACTAGTGGTTGCACATCTCGGCATTGCYCTGGCGTGGGTACCACCGTCCCGACCCACAATCCGAACGGCGTCGACAAAGTGTTCCGCCCTCGGTGGTGACAACAAMGGTCATGAAGAACGAGAGTCAGCGCAAAAGGGCCGGAGGGAGATACTTACCGAGTGGGTGGCGGGTACAGCGATGGCAGCCGCAGCTTCCACCAGCGTGGGGCTCCCCGCCTTTGCCGAAGGCGGAGACCAACCACTAMCCCCCGTCGAGGTGACGCCTCTCTCGCCCGATGCCAAGAAACTTTTYAACGAGGGCCGTGCACTGGAGTCGCAGGGCAACATGATCGCCGCACAGCGGCTGTACGGAAAGGTCGTCAAGATCTCCCCCCGCTTCATCTACGGATGGTCGAACCTGGGCAACACAGAGGTTGCCCTGGGAGACCTTTCCTCGGCCGACGACAACTACTCCAGGGCCATCGAGCTTTGCCAGGAATCCTCGGCCGAGGCCGCGGCCCAGGGCTTTGGAATCAAAAAGTGCAACGACCTGTACGTCCTGCTGCTCAACCGGGGCTCCGTCCGGCTCAACACCCCCGGCCGCAAGGTGGAGGCCCTCCAAGACCTGCGGCAGGCCAACAACCTCCGGGAGCGCCCCGACGCGGTGATCCTGCAAAACCTAGCCCGGGCGGAGGAGCTGAATGGCTTCTATACCATGGCCGACAAGAACTACAATCTCGCTATTTCCATGACGGCCAACGAGGTAAACCCCTTCTGGCTGCGGTCGGCCATGGTAAAGCTGCAGCTGGGAGACCTGCAGGGCGGGAGGGATTTGCTCAAGCGTGTCGAGAACCGATTTCCGGACGCCCCGGAGGTCAAGGCGGCCTCGGCCACCTTTTTGTGGGAAATGGCGCGGCCCCAGCAGGCCAATCCGGCGAGTGCCCTCCTGGGGGCAWCCTCCTCGCCGTCGAMCAACAACAAAAACGCTCCGGACGATGCTCCCGCTGCCGCAAAGCCCTCCCCMGAGGACTACAAGGTGGACGCCCAGCGCAAGTTTCTGGAAATTCCCGACCGCCAACGGCTGAGGTTCGTCGACCCCAAGTACCTCGACGACACCATTGCCTGGCCACCGATAATGAAGGAGGGGGTGACATCGATTGCCCGGAACGTTGGGGACTACAAGCGAGTGGAAGCCGCGGCACCGGTGCCGCAATGAACGAACAAACTACCAATTGAGCGGCGAAGACAATCAAWGGAWCCGGTACAGCACCAACAGCGAAACKAGGCAAATCATGCAAGTGGAAATCTAGTGTATTGAACATAGGTGCCATTCTAAAGCATTGACGAGGCAATGAAACATACCTGTAGCATTAGCACGCTTTGTCGAGGAATCACTTTGTGCGCATTGATGTTCGTTTCCAACTCATAATGTAATCATTATCCTTAGTAGCAATAGTTCTGTTCCTTAGAAATGGTGTGATATTCCAATATGCCATGTATAGTTTCTATGTGTTSTTCAATTCAATCACGGGACAAGACCAATACAGGAATTCCAATCAGGGATAAGAAAATGGCAACAAGAACATGCTGACGAAAGGAAGTAATTCCATCGCAACCATAGAATCAATTGTGTGCATTTAACTGCAATACAATCRGATGCAATGTCATTGTTAGATCGCTTGCTTCGTGACAAAGAAGTTTTGTTTGCGCGAACCACTACAGGTGTGGTTTCCTTGCCGAATGTGAATGTARTATTCGTTGTAATAAAATAATGAAAATGTTCTTTCTTAAGTACTATGATATTCCCAAGTGCATTGCGTTGTCTCGATCTTTCGACAGATTCGAAACACGATTTCCCATCCCGTCCCTCGTTGTATCCCTTCCCAATCCCGCCCAAGTCCTAATCCATGGTTTCGTTTGCTTTCGATTSATTCGATCGTTCCCCATTCCCTAACTGCCCCATTCGCAGAAAAAGCAAACTATGCAAACCTATGCGTAACAGCGATTCGATTTCGGACATTCCGTGACAGAATAAATATATTCTTGGTTTCTGCCTCTCCTTTTCTTTTCCTATGAACGACTCCTACACACACGCTTGTTAGAGGGCTGTGGTGACGACGATGACGACTGATCCATCGCAACAAACGGGTGGTGTACCGCTACCGGAMTCCGCCCAGGGCCATTTGGTTCGCAGTAGAAATCGCTCGACGTTGGGTTTGTCTTGGTTGCTTCTTCCAATCCCGCTYCGCTCTTGCGTTTCTTCTCGGCAGACGCGTCGGTTTGGTCGCTTCGTAGGAAGGAACGCAAGTAATGGAGCCACACCGCATTCTTTTGGTCCGCCATCGTTCCCAAAGAACAAGCTCTAGCGAAGGCTGAATTGGATTKGTTTTGAATTGTTGTGGTTGGTGGAACAAGCTTCTTGAACGCGTACCCGTACCAGGTACCGTACGGTACGGTGGTACGTGCCGGTAGGAGTCCAGGACGATCATCATCGACCACCATTTTTTATGTTTAGCTACAAGTTCTTCGACTACTTGGACTACAACTACAATAGCATACTTTTTCAACCATAAAATCGTTGGAACCAAAAGCAAAAGAATTGAGGATCTAGRGGATGAAAGTATTTAGGACCTGGAAAACACGAACAAGAAGAATAGGCTAATATTACTACTAGTGCACCTTGTTGATAGTAAATAGTAAAAAGTTGATCTGAAAGCCAAAGTGTTCAAGAACAAACAAGAAGCAGCATGAGGTTTTGGTACTAGTAGTGACCAACTGGTGAGCATTTTCACATTCTTGCATCAAGTTTTTCATGCAGATTGCAAATTGATTGATACATGAAATTACAAAATGTCCCTCTTCCCTGCTCCTGTGATGCAAGAAACAGCACAGCTTTTGGGATAGATGAAAAAAATGTAATCATTTTCAGATGTCTATTGTGGTTTGTAGTATATAAATGATAAATTGAGAAAACAACTGRAAAAATCTGGRCGATTTTTTTGTTTTTTWAATTATTCTTAAGTAGTGTGCTCRCAATGGCCTTTTGTCTGGTATCTTTTRTCAAAGTCTGCTAGTAACACAACATTGCTCTTATGGAACTGYGATGGASTTTTAAACCGAGGCTCGAATCTTTTCTCTCATGAACGCCCTGTTGGGGTCAAAAATATTGCTGAAAATCTATTTTCCTCTCTGACTCGCCATCAGGTGATGAAAACCTTACCAWCGAACCGCGGCTTCTCTCTGAGTCACCAGGTAGAGCAAACGATAACAACTAACCTTCGTCTGATCTCTCTGTCTGTCCATCTGGTATGGCAAACCTTACCGCCGAGCCAGTGCTTCTCTCTGACTCACCACCTGGTACCGCAAAC